GCGCCGGGAGCCGGACACGGCCGGGACCGGCCCGGCCTGCACCCGGGGAGGCAGCGGAGAGTCTCGTCTGTCTGTCTGTGCACATGTCTGCTTTGGTTGTCTGTGTCTGCCTGCCTATCCTGTCTTGTGCCGGCTTCAGTTATCTTCCTGCCTGCCTTCCTTCCTACCAGCTTTCCTCATTCAACTGTATATCTATATCGATAGTTGTCTGTCTGTCTCTCTTCTCTTCCTCTCTCTCTGTTTGTATCTCGCTGTATCTATCTCTGTCTCTCTCTCTCTCTGTCTCGCTCTCTCTGCTTTGGTTAGCTGTCTGTGTACTGATACAGTGGAGGTCTGTGAGCTGTCTCTGTAGATAGGTATGAGGGATGTTAACTGCATCTGGTGACCCGAGCTTCGGCTCATGAAAGCTCTTAACAGATAACATATCTCACGCCTGTCTCACATGCCTGTTTTTCCAGCTTTCTCATCGACTGGGGACCTCAGTAGCATTGGATGAAGTGAGCTGCAGATAACGTATTTCACAGGTGTTGGTGAGCATCATCAGATGCTGTTGAAGTCCCCGACCCATGAGAAAGCTGGTTTTGTAGTTGGAGAAACAGGCACACAAGGCAGGAACTTGTAGATGCTAAGCTGCACTCGACTCATTATTTGGAGTTTGTCAAGCCATTGAGGGGTGTAGGTTGTAGCCATGTTGGTCTAAGGACATCAGCAAACAAGGTTCTTTGCGTGAATCTGATATCTTTTATTAGACCAACTTAAATAGTTGGAAAACAATTTTGAGCAAGCTTCTGGGTTTAAAAACCATTTGTCAGGCTGAGGAAGTCTCTGCAGTTGGTGTGTGCTCTGCCTGGTTGGGATGAAAAGTAAAGCCAGAGGCTGGGCTTGTCTGCACGCAAGGTAGGCAGTCAGTGAAGTTGTAAACTGAGGAGTCAGTGGGTGAGAGATAGGCTGGGTGGGGGAGAAGGGGATGAATGTAGCAGTTAAATAGGCAGACAAGGTTCTTTGGGTTTCACGTAAAGAACCTTGTCTGCCTGTGCCCTTAGACCAACACGGCTACAGCATACACTGCAGTTAAGCAGTGGAGAGGTACCTGGGGAGTCAGATGTCAGGCAGGTTACAATGTGTCATAAATCCAATGTCTATATTTAGCC